ATGTATAATATCTTATATTTTATATATATATATACATATATATATATATATATATATATCATTCGTATATATATATTCTTTTATATATTTATATATTTATATATTTATATATGTGTATGTATATAACAGCGACAAGTACAATGTATAGTTATGATTATTAATAATAATCGTAATCGAAGGGCACCGATGACTATAGTGAGAACTGAGGGCGAGGTAATCATCGTAATAATATTAACAACGACAATCATAATAATGGGCGTGATAATGGCGAATGTGATGATAATAATAATAAGTTATGTCGATCTTTAATTTTAATACAGTCGTATATTCCCTTAAAGTCCGTCCTTAATACTTATATCGCGCTTTTATTGATACAGGGATACAGAAAAATAATACCGCGCGGCCGTGGTGGAATGTTCTTAAGTCGTATATAATATACATATATATATATATGCATATATGTATAATATTTATATAAAACAGGCGCGAGAGCGCCTAATTAATTAATTACAAGCCAGCGCCGCCGCGCCGGCGCTCGTTTTATTTACACCGCAAAAATTAAGTAAATTAAGAAAAACGACGAGAGACCGACTAAAAAATTCATCATACGCGAAATCGAATCGCTAATCTTCGAAATCACAGACAAGCGAAAGCAATATGAAATATTTATACTCGTCACTGCTTTTTAAGATGCAACTTCTGGAAACTTGTTAAAATTTTGTAAATATTTTAAAATTGCGAAAACTCTCATTTCACATTTCACAATTTACGTAGCTTACGTTACTACTAGTCACGTATATACATCTACAGACAGAAACGGAAAAAAAAAATTCAGAAACACACTGTCCGTTAACAGAGTGATGACAGAACAACCACTACGTGTACCTATATAGAACACTAGAGATCATACAAAAATATCTGTCTTAAACAGACAGTAGTTCAGCCGTTGTCCCGTAGACCGAAACAGAAAAGTTAAATGATTTTAAAAATTAATGAAAAATCTCAACTTTTAATGTCACGTGCGTAAAGTCAGTTTGGCCATTTAATTCAATTCTTGATTTCGAAGATTGGGGATTATTTCGCAGAAGAGAATCTCCGTGAAATTTCCCCTGAATTCGCCCACGTTTCACGGGGTTTTCTTTATAATAATCGAGATTCATCGTAGAGTTTTACTTACAATCCTATCTGCCGATCAATTTTACACGCACGAGCTGCACTATGTAGATCCTTGGTCCATTTTTGACGCATACGTTTATTTACAGGGTGAAACGCGCGCGCGCGCGCGCACGCGGCGGCGGTGGTTCGCCGCATCGCAAAAAATGGCAAGTCAACCGCGCGATCGGAGATTTTATCAAGAGCATTACGAAGATAAATATTCTATTTCCTTCTGACACCTATATGTAAAAAAAATATTACGATATAAGTTTATATACATATAATAAAACAATGTTATATATGTTTTTAGTATAGCGCAATACGTAAATTTTAGTGACAAGCATGAGATTCTTCACCTGTAAATTAAAATTTGCAATAAAAAATACACAAAGATTTGTTTTAACAAATTTTTTAGCTCCGCTATTTTTCAATGTTATAAATATTTGATATCAAAAAATTAAAGAAGAAGAATTAAAAACTTATATACATATATATATATTTATAGAGGCCAATCTCTATGTTAATGATTGCCATTTTTATCAGTGAATAAGAAACAGCACAAGTCAAATCAAAGTTTGGTTAAAGAAAAAAAATTCCTTCGTCTTCTTACAAAAAAACTTCTTATACTCGCCTGTAATTCAAAAAATCTATTAAAACTATTTAAAAAAATTATTATAAAATATAGACAATATATATTGTCTAAAAACATTAACGAACTGCTATTTTTTTTAATTTGGCTTCTTAGAGTATGGCTCAGTGACAGTAGGCGATTCCTGAAACAATCCATGTAATGACTTCCATCAAAAATTTCATGTTACACAGCCATAAACTACATCAAATTAATTATGCAAAATATGTTCGATCGCGCAAATCGCCCGCAATTTTTGGCTTCTACAACAACCATAACCGAGATGAAAACGCCTTTTCTTTTCCCTTCTTCTCTTTCTCTCTGTCTCATTTATTCACTTTCTCTCTCTCCACAAGAGAAGGCGAGACATTCCACCTCGCCGTGATCGGTATGGAATTATCGAAAGTTCTCAATTTATCTATCTCCGTCGTGTATACATGTATGTGTATATACGATTGTTCGTACGTTCGTGTATACTGTTTGCGTGTATCGTGTGTTTGTTGCATGCTATTATCTGTATATGACACATTTACAATAATAACAATACGTTGCTCATCATCGACGATTCGCCTTAACTCGCGTATGTATACGTTTAATATTTTTATATATATATATATAATTCGAAAAAAAGTTTATAATAGGGCGGTGGATCACTCCAAACACGCGCGCGCACTCATACAGAGCTCTCTTCTTCTTTCTCTTTCACGTATTTTCTCTTCTCTCTTCGTGCGATCATCAGATCGTATATCACAAAGTTTTCAAAATGCACAGTTTGGATTAAATGCGAACTATGTCAATTATAATCGGTATGTGTGATACGCTTGCAATTGGCATTTTCTGTAAAGCTACGTTTGCACCCCGCATATATATGTGTTGGTATATTCGTAATATAATCGGTTAAATTTTTGTATGCAAATCACGAAATGTGGCCATAGATGTTATTCAATCCGTTGAACTATTTTGAAACAACTAAAAAGCGATTGTAACACGTTGTATCGGCAAAAATTATTTAAAATAATTAAAAATATTTAAAATAAAATAATAAAATAATAAATACGTGTATACATACAAGAAAATATAGCATATGAAGAAAATATGTGCGATAGTGCAGTTTCATTAATAATATTTTAATCGCAAATATACTTCATCTATATTATATACTGAATATTTATTTTTTTATATACTGAATATTCTGTTTAAAATTGTATTTCCTTGCAATATGTTTTCTCGTTATTTAAAATTGTTTTGCCTAACTGAACGAATAATGCATTTCTATTCATTTTGATCTGATCACAACATAATTTTACGGATTTGCAAGATTAATTTAAGACAGTTTCTGTAACAAAATGACATGTGCACAGATGTATATATCATTGCAATAAATTGTATAAAATAGAGTAGTAATATTAATTGTATAAAACCAATTCCGACAAAAAATTTAATTATTCATGTCACACAGATATGAAAAAATGGCTCCTATTATTATGAAATATAGGTTTCCCACATTAAAATCGTCTCGCGCACATATTATCTGTCGTGTATCTGCTTTTTCCACCGCCTCTCTTAACTACTTCCTCACATTATCGCAAATATGTATTTACAGACTTTGAAATTGATTAAGAATTCTGATATTCGCGCCTTCCTTTCTCTCTTTCCCTTTCTCTCACTCTCTCATGCCATTATAAAAAATTGATTCGTTTCACCTTAAATCGTTAACACTTTCCTTCCGCCTCCTCTGCCTCGGACTATCCCTTCTCTTCTATTCTCGATAAGGAGCGTATCCTCTGGATACCAATCAGACATCTCACTGTTATTTTCCACGACATTGCAGACATTCCATATTTTGTACTACATTTTATATTACAATTTCATGAGAAAGAGAAATTTGGCATTATCAAAATGTAATGTAAACTCCAGTTTTGTTTAAAACGACATTATTAAAATGTCACGTAAAATTGTCATCAATTGCGTATAAAATTATTAATATTGTAGTTTGTAATGTGTTGCTGCAACTAATATTATTACACAATATAATGGAAAAAGCAAAATTAAGAAATACGTACTTTTTCTCGATTAGAGAAGAAAAGTATGTATCCCATAAGTTTTTGCCTGTTTCTATAAATATATCAAGTTTGATCATAAAATCGAAAGAGACAAATCTTGCTTACAGCGAGCTATTGATTGGTATCCAGTTGGTGAACATCGATCGATCGTCCCTGCAGGAAGGCTCGCGGCCGTCGCGGTGCTACGAAAAATATCTCCAAGGTCAAGCCATCACAGACAATAGTTCCGGATGTCGGAGGTGCGGGGGACTATATTGTGCAGAGACGAAAGACGTGTGCACTTTCAAAGTTCTCCCTAAAATTAACTTACTAAGGTCGTTCTTATAACGGTAACAAGACTCGATCCTATTTACATTTGCAGCTTTCTTCTCCTCTTTTCTCTTATTAACACAAACCTTGAGGAGATGGATACCATGTCAAACTTCGCGGAATCCCAAATGATCCACGGAACATCCCATCTGTCATCATCAGCGGGTCATCCAAGAGATCCATGTATATATACACACACACACACTCCGTCGGCGATTCAGAGTCCTGGGCTCCCTCAAGGCCAGCTGGGCCTCGGCCAGCTCACGTTGGGAGCCAATCACTACGCTGGGACTTAATAATGTTAAGGCATCGTCGTGTGTCGACGAACACGAGTTCCTCTCTGACGTTCGTTGGCAGTAGCGAAAATGTCGGTCGGGTTCCATCACCTTCACCCGCTCGATCCAGGCACTATCAAACCCCCCATGTCCCCCGAATGCACCATATCACTCTCACAGACGATCCAAAAATGATCGTTGATCTTCAAAGTTCGGGAAACACCGAAACTTTGATGATAAAAGATTTTATTTGTGAAATTTCAAAAGCTCGGTGATCCGATTTGTTTCATCGTGGAAGCGCAATTGTTAAATAACCAGATTATTTCCAAAGTTCGCATTTAGCAACATTGCAACACTAACCTTTCACAATCTTCAAAGCTTGACAATCCGGATCGTTAAATATTGACTGGAGGCCAAAGAGATGCTTCTTTTGGATTTCTCTTTCAGTTTTATCGAGAAAAGGTAAGAAATTATTCTTCCGATACTTTCTTTAGCTTTTTAGAAAGCCGAAGTCTTCTACTTGTAAATTTTTCTCTGGTTAAAAATTAAAAAAATATCTATCGATCTTCTTCCAAATTTTATCCAAAATCTAAAAGACTTTTTTCGGTCTCCTTCGAAGATTTCCTCCAACTTTTTTAAAAATTTAAGATTCATTTTTGTTTCAATATTTTTTAAAGATACAAGATTTTTGAAAGATTTTCTTCTTTTGATCTTTCCTCCAGTTAACAAAGGAGAATTTATTGATCCTCTTCCAGTTTCTTCAGAATCTCAAGATATTCGTCGATTTTACATTTAGCTTTCGCAAAGATTGCAGAATTTGCTCTTCTATCTTCTTTTCAGTTTTCCCAAAGATAAAAATTTTCTAATTTTTTTCTGAGAACTTTCTTCTGTTTGTATAATTACGGGCTTTTGATGATTTCAAAGATTTCGAACTTTGATTATACATAAAACGAAAAAGTCCTTGGATCAGCTTCAACTGATTTTATGGCTTCGGGATTCGAGGAGGAGAATCGCCAAAATCAGCGCGGTGAATGACGGTGCATTATAATGATGTGCGCGATGATGAGAAGCGTAAAGACGGGGGCCGAACGGAACAATTTCGCGCTCGACTATGAACCGCGGCCCCGTGTGTCATACTTGCTCCTCCCGTTTGAAATTGATGTTCTGAGACGCGCAAAAGTCGCGGGTAAATGGCACGCAATTGAACAGTTTACACACTTCGCACTCATACACTGGCACGTTGTAGAAGAGGGCGAGCAACAGGGCGAACAAGCCCACGATCAGGATCAGGCATACCCAGATAAGCAGTATCTTCCGTTTACGATCGTAATGGCCAAACGAAATAAACGGCATCAGCGCGTAGGCCGCCAAGAAGCCGAAGATAAAGCCGAACAGATGCGCATAGTTGTCCACCCACGGTAGTATACCCAGCGCCAACAATCCCACTAGGATCAGAATCAGCTTAGACAGTGCACGACGTGGGTGCTTCAGCATTGGCCAGCAATGCAATACTTCGACCACCAGAGTGGCCAGCAGTGCGAAATGCGCGCCAGCTGGACCGACCTGTAAACAAACATCATTATTGATAAGCAAAATACCAAAGAGTAACAAAATCTTGCTTTCACCAGCATGCATTGAAAAATGAATCACGAGAATTTAGAAAAAAATAAATTTCTATAGCAATAATTCAAATTAATTAACGTTTTAAACAAGCAATTGTCTATAAAATCAGTCCGATATATGAAAAAAATATGTAACAAATCTTAGTTTTTTTTTAAATTAATTAATTATTTAATTAATTCTATCGAATTACTTTGATAAATGGAAAATATTAATTGTGTCAGATGTTTCAAAAATTAGACTATATAATTACTGTACAATATGTTTTTTTAAACAAAAAAGAAAAATTATCAACATTATATTAAAAACTTACTTCTGCTCTGTAAGGGACAAAGATTGCGCTGGCCAAATTTCCAGCAAGAGCACCAATAAAGTAGATTAAAGCAATGCGCAAAGATCCTGTCAGTTTTTCCAAATCTCTCATCAGAAAATACTGGATCAGTAACGTAATTACCAAATGGACGATTCTGCAATATTAAATAAGTAGAATAAATAAATTGATTTTATTTTCTTGGAATTAATTTATCAAGATAAATTTCTCAAGCAGCTTTATTTTGATGAAGACGAGTAAACTGTCTCTCGAATTTATCGAAATAAATTTATCATGACAAATAAATCGATTCCGCGTCTATCAGAATCAATTTATTGGAACAAATAAAATAGTATAAATTTTTTTCTTTAGATTATAACTTAACGGAATAAATAAATCTTTTCTTCAAAATTGGGACTGAATTCATTAAGATAAATGTAAAACCAAGTTTGCTTTTTTGAGATAGATATCGGGATAAATATATGCAAATCAGTTCTTTATTTGTGATCGATTTTTTAATTTTTATTACCCGGCATGAAGGAACATAGTGGTGAAGAGTCTGTAGAACTGGTCCGGCCATTCTGGATGCAGGAACGGTATCATTCCGCAGACGTCGTGCAAACACTCCACCTGCGAGCAAAGCGACGCCTCCTCGTGAAAGTAACCGTGCACAAAATCGCAGTACTCCTTCGTGGTGATCCGACAACTCCCGTGAATCCCGATGCAACAAGGGTGACCGATTATCTCGCAAACCATGTGTTCCGCCATTTTATCCTTGTAACGGCCGATGGGAAAGTTGCCGTTGCTCCGCTGACTCCCGTTTTTACTAACAAGAATTTTTCCGTTAATCCTCACCGTTTATTTACTCTTTGTAAACGACCTATTTCTCTTGATTGTATTCTATTACTTTCGATGATAAACACGATAGATAATGTAAAAATATTAACCTGAAACGATGATTAAAGGAATTGGTTTTCCGGCAAATCGGCCATTTGGTAATGTCATCCGGCCACTCGTAAGGGGCGATGCTTGCAGGGGCATCGCAAAATTTTGGATCTAGTCCGCAAACGGATCCACTGATACGGCCGCCGGGTCCACTCTCCCCGGGTCCCCACTTCTTCCAGGTCGAGATTGTGTTCTGCGAAATTTAACATGATCACAATTTACCCTCGTTATCAATGATGGATGATTCTTGAAACTTTGAAGTATCACTAAATATATGCCAATTTCCCAGATTAAAACATGCACGAATTAACAAGAAGACTTTACATATTTGTTTGTAAAAATACATCGCAAAATAAATACAAAATTGACAAATAAAATATTTGTATTTGTATAAACATTTACTTTCTTTTCTTTGATTACATTCAAAGTTTTATATATATAAATTTTAATTAGGTGCTTTCTTATCATTATAAAACTGACTATCAATAATTATAATAAGCAAAGAAACACAGCGTGTTTACTTCCTTTAATTTCATTTAAATGCTTTTTTCAGGCCAAAAAATCGAAGTAAAGATTACATGATTTACCGTAACAGTGGATCTCAATCCCCGAATCTGTTGGCGCGCATGGAAGAAAATTACATTAACATGAACACGACTATGAAGAGCCGATAAGGATATGATGTTATACAAGTCTTAAAAATCAAGAAACTCACAGAGCAATCCGCTTTGCTGGATTGAACGCAGCCGGAATCGTCGTTCCTGATGCAGCAAGCGGTATCCCGTTCTCTTTCCCGCCCAACGTCAATCTCCTTCAAAATCTTGATGTCCCGACGCATACACGGTGCGAACTTGGCACCAAGGTGAATCAGATCCGCGGCTCTAGGGCCAAGCCAAAAGTTCGCGGGTTCTTTATAGTCGACTTGTTGCAACGACAAACTCGTCACGAGAACCTGGACAAACCAATCATTTTTCAATCGCTTTTCAACATTTATTTACAGAATTCCTAATCATCCTTACAATCCACTTTTAATCAAATGCTCAGGAACAACTTAATCAAGTGTCTCTACAGCTTGGAATATTCTACAGCAATGCATATCTCAAGAAACTCTAAATTTTCTTATTAATAGAAATGATAATCTTTGTTGTAGTTTCTGTTTTTGCGTCATGTGCTCGATCATGTTTAAAGAAATCATAAATATTCATTTTCTAATATGTAAGTAGCATGATTTATTTTGATTCAGCGTAGATAAAGAAACAATTTCATCTTGTCGCGCAAGAGAATTTTTTATATCTATTCTCAACAAGATTAATTTTCCGATAACTTTAACTAAAATAATTTTAAAAAAATAATAACAAAGATCGAATAAGAATAACTGAAGTCAATGGATAGTAATTTTTTATTTGCTTACCATTCCTGACCGATGATTGAGATCCATTCCAACAGGACCAAATCCGTAACATGCCAGCGATATTATCAGAATCAATACTTGCACAGTGGTGATCCAGTACGTGAAATATGGTCGGTGATCCTCGAAGTCGTCCAACTGTTTCTTTACGTCCGGTTTGTGCGCGACGCTTTTCCGAAAAGATCGTCTGGAACAAGAAAGAAAACTTTTAATGATCCACTTTGTCTTCTTCACAATGTAACTACTGTAATCTCGATATTCAAGGAAACCTGTTTCTGATAGAAAATTATCACAAACATATACAAAGTTATTATGATATTATTATATACATAAAATATCGATTCGTGAAAATTATAATATCCTTTTAAAAATATAATAAAATAACAATTGTATAAAGTGTTCAAAGCAAAGATTGCATACAGCTCGATAATTAACAAAATTTATGTTTTAGATATGTAAAGTTTTTTATTTAAAATATAACTTATATATAAAATATACAAATTTACTTTTAAACTTTTGCTTTGTACCTCCCAGTCAATCAATCGTTTTCTGATTAAGATAATTTTACTCTCGCAAGAATTAATTTAATTAATCAACTTAGTCAATTGAATCAATTTTTGACTTAAATCCTATAAAGATTGAAGTGTGAAGCGTACCCGAAGAAACGACCGACAATGCCCATTCCGTATCTCCGCCGATTGCTGTTGTCGAAGACACGATCGATTGTGCTGCGGGAGATCCTCGTGGCCCCGGCTATCTCCCTGCGGAGAGTCACCCCCTCCTCCTGCGGCAACCTCGTACCCTCCGTCGGAGGCGCGTCGTACTTCGACCTGCTCCAACTTGTCTTTCTGTAATCTCATTCTCGTTATACACGCTTGCAAGTTTGTCGGAGGACAACGACAAATCTATTTTGCAAATTGCTTTTACTCGAACAAGTAGATTTCGCGATCTCGGCAAACTCTTGAAATGTCCAAACGTCGACAGTTTTTCGATTAATCGTCATTAAAAACGGAAGAAATCTTATAAATTATATTGTTTGAAGTATGAAAACTTATTTTTCATTTAATTGATCTTATTATTTCTATGCAACGTCTTTGATGAGAGAGAGATTTATATCTCCGATTTATTAAAAAAGATACTACTCGAGAATTTTGCTTTTTAAACATAATAAAAAT